GGTGAGAATTTGAGCGCGGCGCTGGCGGACTGTCAGTGATAGGGTACCCAGCGCACCCTCCACAGCTGCTAGCTCAGGTACTAAGCCCCTCACTGCCCAGGGCAGCCGCGCGGGCCGGGACCTCCGAGTGCGGGCCCGCCTAGACCGCCCCCACCGGGAACTCGCGCTGGCCCGCAAGCATCGCGCGCAGCCCGGGTTCCCGCCCTCGCCTCGTCCTCCGCACCTCCCCGCAAGCAGAGGGAGCCAGCTCCAGCCTCGGTCAGCCCAGAGAGGAGCTCCCACAGTGCAGCGGCGGGCTGAAGGGCTCCTCAAGCGCGGCTGGAGTGGATGCGGAGGCTGAGGAGGCTGCCGAGAGCAAGCAAGGGCTGCTAGCACGTTGTTACCTCTCAATAAGAGCACCCTTCCCCAGAGTCTACCAGCAGGCAGATCTCTCAGGGGAAGTACGTGCATATGCCTTAAAATCACATGAAAAACAGGGGACGGATGGGGGTATGTGGGAGAGACCCGACAGGGTGAGAATGAATGGAATCGAGAGTCAGGAAGGTTGTAAACAAAAGGCCAGAGTTTGTGGATTACGTTTCTACACTTTAATTCATATGCATAGGTGGTTGAAATGATTAAACTGTATTAGGAAAAATGGACAATCTTTTCCTAATTTTAGATACTGAAAGACTAACCAAATAAGAGAAAAACTTTTAATGGGGCCGTGTGTGGTGGCTTATTCCTGTATTTTCAGTACTTTGGGAGACTGTGGTGGGTAGATCTCCTGAGATCAGGAGTTCAAGACCAGCCTGGCCAACATGGCAAAGACCCATCTCTACTAAAAATACAAAAGTGAGCCAGGCATGGTGGCACATGACTATAATCCCAGCTATTTGGGAGGCTGAGGCAGAAGAACTGCTTGAACCCGGGAGGCAGAGGTTGCAGTGAGTCGAGATCCTGCAACTGCACTCCAGCCTGGGCAATTGAGCGAGACTCCGTCTCCAAAAAAAAAACTTTATAAGGTTGCATAAAAGTAATTCAAATTATAATAATTCAAGTAAAGAATATGTCATTTGTGCCTAATTACAGTGCCAAATTATAACAACTAGGCATAGGTTAAATATAGCATACATTTTATTTGCTTTCCTGTGTCCCTGCCTTCCTAGGGTCACTCCAGATCACTGTCATCAGCTAATGTAGTACATGATATTGACTCACAACTTGACAGAGTTGAAGAGGCCACTGCCTATAATCTACCTACATGTTTCCTGGCATTTCTAGTGTTCCTTCATAATCTACTGTGGAACTTGTTTCAGTGTTCAATCATATTACCTTTACAGATATGAAATTTCAGCAATTTAATTTTTGTTATGCCTAATATTCTTTCCTACTGCTTCAAAGGATGCCCACTCTTTATTTGGCAATCACTTAAATGGCATTTCCTGAAGACCAGGCATTTTTTCCCCATGTGCCTTGAAAATACAAATTCGTGTCATCTTTATAACAGCCCTGTGAAATCGTGTGGCAGACATTATTGCCCATCCATGTGCCCTCAGTCCACTTCCCAATTACACCTGCAGTCACAGTGGACAGTTTGATATGAAATGACATTGAGGAACATGCGTGCATAGGTAAACATGCCAGTTCCCTGTCCTCTGCAGTACTGTGAAGGTCCTCACATGATGGTGCCCCCATTGCCCTCGAAAATGACTGCTCCTTTACAGCCCCTTCAAGAGCTTGTCTCCCTCTGCTCTCACCCACCCTTATTCCTTCACTTGTACTTCCTGGAATAACCTCTCAAAAAATCACTTATATCTAAGTCCTTTCATCTGGGTCCACTTTGGGATGAACCCAAATTACAATACTAAGTTCTATTATAATCCTCGTTTTATAGATGAATAAAACTTCATCGTATAGATCAAAGTATGTGCCTCATATAGATGAGGCACAGAGTGGTATAATAATTTGCTCAAGGTTGTCCAGCTCATGGAGTAAGGATCTGAATTCAGGCTTCAGAGTCCATGTTCTTTGCTACCCCTATACTGGCCTCTAAAAATCATACTCTATAATTTGGTGAACACGTCCATCTTCCACCTACACAGATCATTCTCAATAATATAAATAGGGAGAGGAATTTGGCAAACTACAGCCCTCAGCCAAATCTGTCACGTGGCCTGTCTTCGTAAATAAAGTTTTATTAGACTACAGCCACATCCATTTGTTTCCACATAGTCTGTGGCTGCTTTTGCACTACAATAGTAGAATTGAGTAGTTGTGATAGAGACCATGTGGCCTGCAAAACCTAAAATGTTTACTATCAGCCGGGTGCAGTAGCTCATGCCTGTAATCCCAGCACTTTGGGAGGCTGAGGTGGGCGGATAATGAGCTCAGGAGACCGAGACCATCCTGGCTAACACGGTGAAACCCCATCTTTACTAAAATACAAAAAAATTAGCTGGGCATGATGGTGGGCGCCTGCAGTCCCAGCTCTTCAGGAGGCTGAGGCAGGAGAATCCCTTGAACTCAGGAGGCGGAGGTTGCAGTGAGCTGAGATCGCGCCTTCCATGCTCTGCCACAATATGGTACTAAGATATGGTACTAAGATTGTGCCACTGCACAGAGTGAGACTCCATCTCAAAAAAAGAAAAAAGTTTACTATCTGGCCCTTATTCACAAAACGTTTGCCAACTCATACTATTTCTCGGTAGGGCGTGATCTTTCCCAGCTGGAATCTATTTAAAAGATATCAGTGAGACTCCCAGAACATGGCTTGACTTTGGGTTGGGTAGCTTTGGGGATTCTGAATATCTGGTTAACAAGCATGTTTCTCTCTGTGCTACTCTAGCTGAGCCCAGGGATTGGTCAAACACCCAAATGCTGAGCCTATGGCTCGTTCTTTTCCTGGCCACCAATCAAATGGTCTGTGACTATTTCTCCTTTTCCCAACCTGATTATATTTCTAAGAGATAAGAGGTGTCCCTTTCCCACTAACAAATGTACAATACCAGCCATGCTTTAAAAAGTGGGTTAGGCCCGAAGGAAGCTTTTGCCAGAGATATAATCACATGGGAGAGGAACCTGACTAATTCTGTGAAGGCGAGAGAGATCTCATCTTATTTTAGATGATTCAATGGGAACATTTTGATTAGTTTGATAGAGTTGTTAGGTTACATGTTTGTTTGGGAGTTTCTGCACCTATGGCCACTTCTGCTGGGTCTACACCATGTGGTGTGAAAGCTTTGGGTTTCCACCTTTACACACAGGTATCAAAAGCACCTTTGCAGCCATTCACATTAAAGGCACCCATTGGCTGTCCCAGGCCATCAAAAAAATATTATTATGCACCGTTTATACCAGTTTGCCAACTTGGATTTTTTTTTCTTTCTTACAAGAAACCATAGTGACACTGTAAATCATTGAGGGTGTTGATATCTTTTAAGACATACTTTGATAACATTCTGGAATATGCCATTTTATAAAGCAGGGAAAGGTGCCACTTGGAGTGTATCCAGGAGGCAGGAATGCCCTGCAAGGTCAACTTTTCCTTTTCAGCGATGTTCATAGTAACTGTTTATATGTTCTAGACTTGCAGACAAGGTCTTCAGATAATGTAATGAGTACTTGTTAATCAAAACTCCCATACCTCAAGAAGGTTTTTGCAGGTCAAATAGGTTGGAGTAAAAATATACATATACGTAACTCTTTACAATACCTGAGAACAAAATTCATCAAAATATGCTCCTGTCTTGCCCCAGTTCAACTACAATTTCATAGAGGTCTTTTAGGAAACTCTGTGCCTTCCAGTTGTCCCCCAAATATCTGTCAATTGTATGTGCCTTCTCAACTTTCAACCATAATAAACTGATGACAAAGAATCACCAGTTCAAACAAACAAATCGTTCATGGTGAGGTCTGTATTTAGTGGACTGTGTCTAAGAAAGAATGTGTTAATCTGAAGCCCCAAAACTTGATTACCATTTGATACAATATTTGAGTTTATAACATTTTGTCATCTATTGCTTGAGCTTGCTGGGAATTGGTTGGAAGCAAATCTTCCTGAAGAACACACTATTGGTCAATCAAAGGACCCGGATGTCCCTCCTTTGGGGAAGTTTTGGTGGTAACCATGACTAAGACTAATGTCAATCATTGAGTGACAGGTTCTAGGAATCCTTACCCATCACCCTTCCCAGTGGGAGTGTGTTCCTTCAGGAGCTGCCTGGAAGGTGCCAATGATATGCTAGTCACAAAGTTTTGGATTGTTTTGGACCTGCAGGACAGCTGGTCACACGGGTGAGTCCTTGTGGGGACAGTAATTCTCCGTGTAGGGGTGGAGGAGAAAAGGGAAGGGAGAGGGAAGGAGTGTGACCAAATCACTGGGGCTTTTTCAAACAAAACAAGGCCCCTTCCTCCTCATCATCCCTCCTGGATTCCAATTCAAAGGCCTGGGGCTCATGTGGTCATGTGACTGCAAGTCTTTTTTTTTTTTTTTTTGACACCTGTATGGTTATGTGTTCTTTTTTTTTTTTTCTTTTGAGACAGAGTCTCACTCCGTTGCCCAGGCTGGAGTGCAGTGGTGCGATCTCGGCTTACCACAACCCCTGCCTCCCAGATTCAAGCAATTCTCCTGCCCCAGCCTCCCGAGTAGCTGGGACTGCAGGCACGTGCCACCATGCCCAGCTAATTTTTGTATTTTTAGTAGAGACAGGGTTTCACTATGTTGGCCAGTCTGATCTCAAACTCCTGACCTCATGATCTGCCCGCCTCGGCCTCCCAAAGTGCTGGCATTACAGGCATGAGCCACTATGCGTGGCCATGTGACTGCAGTTCTACTGCTCTTCACCATGTCCTGCTCAGTCTAGAACATGCTGTACAGACCTGGGCGTGGCTGCTCTTTCTGGGGGATGCTGGCAGCCCGTGGCTAGAGCTTGTCAATCATCTGCAAGAACTGAAATCCCTCAGGTATCCAAGGTACTTACTGGGCCCAAGTATCAAAAAGACAGGATTTACACACCAGCTTTCCTTCCTCCATTTGTATTCCGACCCCACAGAGGCTTCCCCAGTGACCCTCTTCTTATATTTTCTCAGCTTTGCTTTCTGCCCTAGTTCTTCCAGCTCTTCCCCTTGTTACATTATTCATGGCTTTTATTTCTCACTTAGTAATTTATTTTAATTTTTATTCGTGTTTTTATGCTCACTTAACCCAGGTCCTTATCTTGAAAAATGACTACTCTGGAGTGACCAGAGAAGGAAGAAGTAGCAAGCTATTAGTCCTTTTTAAAGCAAGAGAATTCCAAGATTATTGCATTAAAAAATTTTTTCAACAGCTGCAACAGAGTTTGCCCTTAAACAGTTGTTCTTAACCTGGGCTACACATTGGAACCATTTGGGCAGTTTTGGAAAAAAAAATCCTGTTGCCTGGGTCTCCCCTCCAGAGATTCTGTTTTAATTGGCCCGAGGTAAGACTTGGGCCCCGGGAGTTTTAAAAGCTGCCCGGGTGATTCTAATGTGCAGCCAGGGTGGTGTGTCCTTCCCACAGACAACGCTGCAGAAGCGAGGCTGCCTCAGAAGTTCAGACCCCCTCCCCCTCCTCTTTCTGCACAATGATCGTCCTTGCAGATTTCCTCATAAGTGAGAGAAGCGGGGCTCATGTCCTTGCCCCACCACTGCGTTACCCTGGGTCAGGGCCTTTATCCTTGTGAGTCTCAGTTTCTTCATCAGTAAGAGTAACAAACTCAACCCTGATGAGGCTGCAAGCTGGACCCACCCACGATGCTGCAGGTTAGAACTCCTGGTCAGCAGTGCACAGGGTCAGGATGAGCTCAGGAGAAATGGAAGAAAACTGAACCAATTAATGGTGCCTGTGGCCACGCGGAGACCCTGTTTCTACCACCAATATGCCCCTGATGTCGGCACTGAAGAGAAGATACCTTTTAGGACCCCAGACTGACTCTTTCCAGCTTCCAGCTCTCAGAACGTCTGTGATTCACCTCTGTGGGCACCAGGTAAGTGTTCAGAAAGCCTTCCTTGACCACCAACATGTACATCAGCAAAGTTTTCGACTCCGTCACACAGGTCTTGAGGTGGTCCAGCTGAATTCTTTCCTCCCCTGGTCATGACATGCACTACAGAATTGGAGGGAAACCAGCATGTGCCAGGGAAGCCAGCTAGGGAGGGGACAGAAACTCCCGTTTCTTCTCTGCTTAGGGGCCTTCAAGTAAGTGCCCTTCCGCCATGAAGCAGAGGGTCGATGAACACGGACAAGGCACTAATGCAGATTTCCTATAAAGACCTTCATTAGAGAAAACAGAGCCGGATCTTCTAACCAGACCCCAGCGATGTCTCCCCTTGCAGTAAGATGATGCTTTGCTTTACACAGATCCTTTGCCAAGAAGCAGATGTGTTTAATATAAAAGAAAGAAGAGAAGAGGAGAGAGAAGACATTGTCATGCATGAATTTACCGTTCCGTGACACTCAAAACTCATTTCCTCTCAGGGCATTTGTCCTTGCTTTTCTCCTCCTGGGATACTCGTAGTTCACTCCTTCTGTGCTCAAGTATCATCTCCTTACTACCCCCCTGTCCCTTCTTATCCCCTCACTCTGCTATTTTTCTTTGTCACAATGACCACTACCACTACTTACCATAATATTATTTATTTATCTGTTACTTGCTTACTAGACCCTGAGCTCCATGAGGATTTTACTTATCTTGTTTATAGCTCTGCTCCGGTGCCTGGCAAAAAATACAAGTAAAGAGCATGAATGAATGAACGAGCGTGTGCATGAAACCTTGGGAGGCAGAGCGTCTGCTTTCACGGGTCCCACACAACACGGCTCCTGCGCCACTGACAGCGCCCTTGCTCCCTGAATGGGCTATGTCCTTCTCCATAGGATTTACCACCTTCTGACTGACTTTGTTATTTGTTTACTTCCTATCTTCCCCGCTGGAATGTAAACTCCACAAAGGAAGGGACTTTTGTTTTCATTTTTACTAGCCTTTGCTTTATTCCCAAAGTCAGGATGGCACCTGGCAATGTAGTGGGACTTTAATAAATATCTATTGTCAAAGAAACGATTACCTCACCAGGAGAAGGTGACGCCAATCAATCTCTGGCAAAAGTGGTGTTTTTCAAGTGCCTCCTTTGTCATCAGCCTCTGTTTTTTGTTTTTTGTTTTTTTACCTCTTTATTCTTCTTGAGAACACTGCCTCCATCCATAGTTCCCAGTGGCTGTTAACCCCTCCCTCTTTTCCCAACCACATGCCGCAGGTCTCCACGTCAGTCTTTGACAACACCTCTGCGTTCCCTCTGTACTTTGCTCTTGCTGTTTCATCTTTGAATGCTTTTCTTTCCCCATCCACTAAAAGTCTCCTTATCCCTCTGAGCCAGCTTTTTCCCGGAGCGTTTTCCTGACCCCCAGCCAGAAGTGCACTTTTCCTTCTCTGAATCTCTACAGGACTTGGTACCTCTCAAGTGGTACCTAGGACACCTTAGAAGACATGATCAGATCTTTGGAGATTATGTCAGTTACACTGTAACCCAAAACTGTAACCCTAAGACAAGAAGGGGCAGGCTCAGTGGCAGGGAGTTAGCTGCCAGCTTACTCTCATGCTCACACAAGAACCTTCAGGCATCACCAACATCTTTCCACCTACATCGCAGAGGCCATTTCAGACTGGGCCACGCTGCCTCATCTATCCAGAAGCTTTGGAAAATCCCAATGGCTTGCTATGTGCAGGGATAGAAGCAGAAGATCCCAGAACTTTCCCAAACTGCAGCTCCCACTTCTCTCCCTCCAGCCCCTGACCTCTACCCCAGCCTCTCAATCCCTGGAGGAAGGTCTCAGGACCGGAGGACTTTGGTTTTCTCTTTCAGACTCCTCCAACCTTCTTTCCCTCCTCCAGAAGCCCAAATTCTGGCACTCTCTCACAACCTGCAGACAACTCTATGAGCAAACATCCTCCCTCCTCTACTCATCAGATTAGAGTTTCATCACTTCATTTCCTGGTAGCCAACAGCTTACATTGTGAGCTGTAGATTTCTACAGATTCAAAAGCTTAAGCCTTCTGAAGACAGAGTTGCCCACTTAAAACTGACTGTGGAATTAGGGGTCTCTAATATGAGTTATTTCAACACCTCCCTGATGCTTTTTCTCCCCTGCCTCTCCATCTGCAATTTTTGCAGGAAGCGTGATGCAGTCAAGAATGTGGGTGGTGAACTTGGGAGGTGGAGCTTGCAGTGAGCTGAGATCGCGCCACTGCACTTCAGCCTGGGCGACAGAGTGAGACTCCATCTCAAAAAAAAAAAACAAAACAAAAAAGAATGTGAGTGGACATTTCTATCTTTTCAAGAAAACTGTTATTGGGAGTGGGAACTAATGATGAGTGACAAGATTTTGATAGATGAAATGTTTTCAGACTTAAAGATTATTCAGGTCAAGCAGACTTCCTTTATGCTTCTTCAAAGGCAAATTTAATGTCCCTATATTGTTATTTCTACTTTTTATGCCCTAGCCAGTTTTTACCCTTATATGTAGTCTCTCACCCACTCACAAGTTGCATTCTCAGGGGGCATATTTTTCAGAGAAACAACAGTAATAAGGTTTGTGTGCTATCCTGTAATATCCCATTTTGCTAATATAGCTAAATTCAATATTATTCATGTATTCACGAATTCACTTATTCATTCATTCACTTAATAAATATGCACTGAGCCAGTGCAATGGCTCATGTCTATCATCCCAGTACTTTGGGAGGCTGAGGTGGGAGGTTCCCTTGAGGCCTGGAGTTCAAGACTAGCCTGGGCAGCATAGCAAGACCCTGTCTTTACAGAATAATAATAAGAAGAAGAAGCCAGGTGTGGCAGTACACATCTGTAGTCTCAGCTACTCGGGAGGCTGAGGCAAGAGGATTTCTCAAGCCCAGGAGGTCAAGGCTGCAGTGAGCTATGATCGTGCCACTTCACTCCAGCCAGGGCAACAGAGTGAGATGCTGTCTCTAAATATATATATATGTGTGTATATATATGCATACACACATACATACACACATGTGTGCATTGAGCAACAACTATATGTCAAGCACCATGCTGGACAGTGGGGTCCAGTGGTGAGCAAGAGGGACACAGGTCCTGCTGTCATGGATCTTACATGGAGGTCAAGGGAGCCAGATAATAATGACCTGCAATAAACATACAATTATAGACTAGAATAGATGCCTAACTTGAGGGAGTCTACTTTAGACAAGACAGTCAGGGGAAAAAAATCTTGATTTTTGAGCTAAGAAAAAAAAAGCTGAGTTCAAGGAGCCTTCCAGGCAGAAGGTACAGCAGATACAAAGGCCCCAATGCAAAAGATGACTCATGTGTTGGACAAACAGAAAGAGGCCAGTGTGACAGAAGCTTGGTGAGCTGGCTGCCCTGGGAAGAGGGGTCTGCAATTGCCTTCTGGTTTCCAGGCCCATGAGAAGCCTTCCCGTTTTCAACACAACTCCCTGACTTGCTTGAATGGGTGGTATATTCATTAATTCCAGAATGCCTGTACTTTAGATATTCCAAGCATTAATATGAACCTCTCCTGGTTAAAAAAAAAAAAAAAAAAAATTTGCTCAGGGAGGCTAAAATTCTTTGCCTCATGAAACCTTCTTACAGCCAAAGTCACATTTTTCTCAACATAGGAGACTCGAGTTTCTTGCTGGTACATTATTGGGGTCCGCAAAGTACAAAGTAGGATCTGAATTGATAACAAACACAGCTGCTGTCCTTGGATCATACAGACTCTAAATGTGGTCTTGGAGGAGTAATGAGCGTGTTCTCAAAAGTGGTCTTGCCCTTCACATAATCATCAGTACAACAGCGATGCCACATGCTGTATTCAGAGATAACCGTATTTTTCTGTCTTTTGTATCTCTTGAATCTTTTGTCATGCAACAAAAGCAACATAAAATTTGGCTCACCACTACTGTCCTGTATTTCAGATTAGTAAGAGATAATTCATTGGCATAGTCCCTGGCAAATGCTCAGTTAACATTAGTTGTAGTCATTATCAGACAAAAAGGACAAATCACAACTTAACTCTGAAGAGTTTAGGTGCTCAAAGGACAAAGCCCTCTTAAATTTTACCCAAGTGAAATCTTCAATCATTTTTCTTTGAGAAGGAAACTACAACCTTCAAATTGTGCGTAAGCACATTTCCTTTTGAAGCTCAAAATAATCCTGTATTTTCAAAACAAAGCAATTAGGCCTCCATCATTAAATGTGGCTTTGTTTACTTGTGTGGTTTCCTTTCATTCTTGTAGGTCAAATGTTATTATCATCATAGTTGACTCAATCTTTTTTAAAGCTTAATTCGGTTTTAAAAACCTAATCTGTTCCATTCCAGATCTTTCTCAACAAAAGTCTCAACCTCATTCACAGTGGAAAGTTTGTAGGCTTAACAAACCTTTTGTTTGGTGGAAGGAAAAACAAAAATACCACGCCCACCTCTGAGGTCTGGCTCAGAGGAAAACTGCTCTGCCCTGCTTCCTCTCTGACCGATTGTGTGTAACAGGGATGTGGCATGAGTCGACGTTAGCGTGCTCTGTGCTAAGATGCATCAGATGTCGTGGGGCCCTTGGGAGTCTCGGACTAGAGGCTGCAGATAGGATGTGGGGATAAGCAATGTAATGAACCCATGAATCTTCAATCATGCAATAAGCTGTTATACCACAAAGAACTATGACCTAGGAGGTGAAACATACCATGAGGTGTTTAGCGAGATTGAGAATCTTGCTGTCATATTATGTTCATGTCGTGTTTGGAACAGGAGAGAAAAGGCAGGGTAAGTGTCCCCTTATGAAGGCCAGAATTGTGCGGGGCTTTCATCATATCAGATGGTGATTATGTGTGTACCCAGCCATCTCCCTCCAGAGCCCACTGGAGGAAGAGTCTTATGTTATTCATCCTGTGTCTCCAGAGTTTATTACAGTGTCTGTGCTCAAGAAATACATGTCCAGTGAATGAATTTTATTATTATTATTATCATTATTATTATTATTATTATTTGAGACAGAGTCTCGTTGTCACCCAGGCTGGAGTTCAGTGGAGCGAACTCAGCTCACTGCAGCCTCCGCCTTCTGGGATCAAGCCCAGCCTCCTGCCTCAGCCTACCTCCTGCCTCAGCCTTCCAAGTAGCTGGGATTACAGGCATGCGCCACCATGCCTGGCTAATTTTTGTATTTTTAGTAAAGACAGAGTTTCACCATGTTGGCCAGGCTAGTCTTGAACTCCTGACCTCAGGTGATTTCCCTACCTCCACCTCCCAGAGTGCTGGGATTACAGGCATGAGCCACTAAGCCCGGCCTGAATGAATTTAACTTTTAAAACACTTTCATATATTAGCACCAGCCTGGTTGTCTTCCACGGAACTGAATCAGTAGCTTAGGGAGAGTGAACTCTCAAATATAGATGTCTCTGTTTACTGTGACAAGGACAAAAAATGCATTCACAGCAAAATCTGCCAAGCAGGGTAGAGGACACACCATCCATACTCTTAAATGCAACGACTTGCAATTCAGTATAACCACCTAACATCCGGCCTTCTCGGCATTTTTCACACCATGACATACGCAGCAAATGAAATCTGTACAGCAAACTGGGATAAACCACTAAGGCTGCTCTTGGCAGGAGGACACTGCCCTGAGGGTTCCAGGTGCCCCAAGCCCCACCGGCCTCTAGGGAAATTACACTGGGGTGGACACCCACTCCAACGCTTCTAGCAAGCCTGCGGCCTGGAATAGCATAGTGGCCAGGATGCTCAGTTGAACTTGTAAAAATGAGCCAGCTGTGACTCCTGAACATAAAATCCAAGATCCTGGTACAATCTATTTCTACACTACTGGCACCATCTCTTGCCCAGTCACTTAATAAAGATAACCAGTAGGTGGACAAGTGCCTTCGGTTCAGGGCCTAGAAGGGCTGGGCATGGCTGGCTAGCTGGGAAATGTAGGTTGCACAAAAAATCCCTAAAGATACTCACACTACTTTATGGTTGTATTAATGCTTTATGGTTTATAAAAAGCTTTTATTGTATTATACATCAATTGATAATAAAATATAATCTGGAACAGGCAGAGTGAAAAACAAAAAATAAAAAGACTCATATCCATTCCTCTTAAAGTGTCAGATGTTCACCAGAAGGAAGATATTTTTAGTTTACAAATAAAAAATTTTCACAAACTTGGACCCAACTTTCCAATCACTAACAGAGATAAGGGGTATGAGAAATGGACATATGGCTGCAGTAAGAAGTCACAGCCAGGCAAAGAGAGAAGATGCAGACAAACACGCAGAAATCTGGGAGGCAAGCACCTATGGTCCCAGTCATTTGAGAGGCTGAGGCAGGAGAATCACTTGAGCCCAGGAGGTGGAGGCTGTAGTGAGCTATGATCGCACTGTTGCACTCCAGACTGGACAACAGAGTGAGACCCTGTCTCCAAAAAAAGAGAAAAGAAAAAATAGAAAGAGCTCCATGTACTTAAGCTGATATTGAGAACATTGTTGTATTAACACAGGACTCTAGAATAGTAGATATTAATATGAATGAATTGAGACCCTGTAGTAATCTGTTTTGCATTGCTTTAAAGGAATACCAGAGACTGGGTAATATATAAAGGAAAGAGGTTTATTTGGCACAGGCTCTACAAGCGTGGCACCAGTATCTTGCTGCACTTCTGGTGAAGGCCTCGGGAAAGTTGTCCTGCTGGAAGCTGAAGGGGAGCCAGCATGTCACATGGCGAGAGAGGGAGCAAGAGATAGGGGAGGAGTTCCTGGCTCTTTTAAACAGCCGGATCTGGCGTGAATTACTAGCGTGAGAACTCACTCATTATTGCAAGGACAGCACCAAGCTATATCATGAGGGATCTGCCCCTGTCACTCAGACACCTCCCACTAAGCCCATCTCTCACATTGGAGGTCACATTTCAACATGAGATTTGGAGGAGCACACATGCAAACCATATGAGGAAGAGGTTAGATTGTATTCTTCATACTATGTTTAAGAATGCTTGGAAGCACGGGGTGCATTTTAGAGAGCTTTCCATTTGAAGTCTTTTAAAAAATCATTTCTTGAAGATAGAAACCCTGAGCCACATAGAAAAGTCAGCAATCAGCTCCTTTCTAAAGAGCTCCAGATAATCAAAATTTTGTAGTATATGGTTTTATTTTTCACTGTATTTGTTTAGTAGAGTTTTATGTTCTGTTTATCTTAATAGCCAAAATAGATCATGATTCTATTTTTCCTCTATTTTTGTATAAATGCTCTACATTTAATTGCTATTTATTTAAATAAACCTTGATTGACTATGAATGGCCCTTAACTAGATATTTTTAAAGTCTCCTCACCCCTGTTCCAGATAATGAAACCACAGTATCCTACCTATTTTTAGCATCCATTGGGAACTTAGCAACAGTTCTCAGGTCTTTGTCTAACATAATTCAATACTTACCATAGAAAGAGTGGGCTCTTGTATGTCAGTTAGATTTCCTATTGCTTGGATACACTTATCCAACTGACAAAATAACTTTTCCCTTTGAGAAAATCAAGTTTTCCCAGTATTCCTACTAAACAGATGTGAAATATTCAGATCTGTTAAAAATAAAGAGCAACGTATGAGTACACAGTTTTGTAGATGGCTTCAAAATGCGGCACTGGTTACAGAAGACGTTCAGCAAATTCTACTCAAACATTCCAATACAAGCTGGATGTGAAGAAATGCTCAGACATTGTTCACTCCAGAAAAGGTATCAAGAAAGGGAAGAACCGGGAGGCAGTGGCTCACTCCTGTAATCCCAGCACTTTGGGAGGCCGAGGAGGGAGGATCGCTTGAGTCTAGGAGTTCAAGACCAGCCTGGGCATCATAATAAGATGCTGTCTCTACAAAAAAATAAAAAAGAAGATGCAGGCAAACACAGAAATCTGGGACTCATGAGGAGGTGACTACCTGTCATTCTAGCTACTCAGGAGGCTGAGGCAGGAGGATCACTTGAGACCAAGAGTTCAAGGCTACAGTGAGCTATGATCATGCCACTGCACTCCAGCCTAGATGACAGAGTGAGACCCTGTTTCAAAAAAAAAAAGAAAGGGAAGAAACACTAATGAGCACCCACGGGGTGCCAGGAACAGAGATTGATATTGATTCCTAAACATTTGTGTGTGGAAAGTGAATATCCAAGTTATATGTGTGAGAAAGTCAAAATTAAGAGAGGTGATATAATGAGCCAAAACTTGACAGCCAGAAGATGGATGGAATCATTCCCAATGAAGTGACCAGAGACAAGAACCCAACAAACCCAGGGGAGACCATCTGGTCACCTCCACTGAAGGCATTCACAGATAGCTTCTTTTTCATGGCTAAAGAATGAAATTCAATGAAGGGAGGAGGTGATAAAACATACATGTAAGGGCACCACTGCTAAGACTCTCCATCCAGTACTTTGCCCGTAATTATCCTAGAACAATGGCACCCAGCTTCCCCAGAGAATGTCATGAAGTGGGAGGCAGAATAAAATTGTGAGAGCCTCTGGGAGCTGCTGAGCAGAGAAGCAACTTGAAGAACAACCAGTGAGATTTTAGGGTTTGCTGGAAGATAGTGAAGGTCTAGCAGTGAGGGACTTCTTCTCTCGGGCAGTCCTTGATAAGTCAACTATTTCCTCCTTAGAGGATCCTTGTTTCATTAGGTTTTTATGCAATTGTTTATTTGTAAATATGAATAATACCTGACTGAATAGTGTTTGACCCTATCAGAATTAATAGCATCTTCCTTTTACTATTTCATTCAGGTAGATGTAAAGCCCAGTGTTTTTTAATAAGCCGGAGGATATACAATTCTGTAGCAAATTCAAATTTCTCATGCTCTTAACTCAGGACTGCCAAATATGGGGCATTCTTTGTTTTGTCCTGAATTTAGTGTTTGTCTTGAGCCTGTATGTTTTCTGATAGCAGAAATGACTAGATCTGATTAATTCAGTATTCTTAGCCCTTTTAGCTTTAAACTCTGTCCATTCAGAACTTGTTCCTCCCACTCCTTGGGGTGCCATCTAAATTCTGAGAAGTTGATGAAAAATCAAGGCAGTGTGGGCTTGTGTAAATGCCATCATGTGCTAGTCCACCCACATTTGCTGACTGTGATGTGTCCCTTTGCCACACTGCACTGTGCTTAAACACTCTGTCAACCTCTTGCCTTTACCAATCTCTAGGACCCTTGAGAAAACACTGCTGCTCTTGTTCCTATAGGGGAGGGGAAACCTGTTTCCTTTATCCTCTTATGTTCAGTGACTTGGGCCCTGCAAATTAAACTGACAAAAGATAGATTAACAGAAAAAAAGCATACATATTTAGTTTGAGGTTAGTATTTTAATTTTTGTTATATGTGCATAGCAGTCTCACAGAAAAGACAGTGAAAACCCAAAGAAGCTGTGAGGCCTCAGAGCTTATAGACCATTTTAACAAAGAGGAATACATTTGTGGAGAAGTGACAAGACAAAGGGAGAGGTTTTGGGCTTCTAGGGGTAACAAATTGTGGGAAGGCAAACATATGAGAAGAAACAAATGGAAGATCTGTTCTGTTCAGTAAGGTTTGTTTCTGCAGATCTGAGCTGGCACCATCCC